TGTACTGGGCTGGCTGTCGAGGGGGTGTCTCGGGGCTGAATGCGGGGCCTCCGGGCTGACCGTGGGGGCGTGTTCCGGACCGGCTGTGTGGGCTGGGGGCTGATGTCGGGCTCCTGCAGGGCCACTTCATCGTATGGGAGGGGGCACCGGGCGCACGGATGCCCTGGAAGGGCCATCACCGCCACGTCTTCCTGTTCCGCCACCACCTGGTGGTCTGCAAGCCCAGAAGGGATTCCCGCACTGACACTTTCAGCTACGTCTTCCGGAGCATGATGAAGGTGGGCTGGGGAGTGGGCAGGGAGGACGGGGGGTGGGGGTGGGGGCGGGGGCAGGCGCAGAGGCCTGCGTTCCTCCAGACACTCAGCCTGCATCCTCCGACCCGCAGCTGAGCAGCATCGACCTGAACGATCAGGTGGAAGGCGACGACCGTGCCTTCGAGATCTGGCACGAGCGGGAGGACTCGGTGCGCAAGTACCTGCTGCAGGCGCGCACGGTCATCACCAAGAACTCGTGGGTGAAGGAGATCTGTGGCATCCAGCAGCGCCTGGCCCTGCCTGTGTGGCGTGAGTGCCCCACGCTGGGAAGGCCTGGAGGCCCCAGTCTTGGCCCCTGAGCCTCAGCACCCCGCCCGGTCCCGGGAGGCAGCAGGGAGAGGCTCTGTCTGGAGCGCGGTTTGCTCAGCCTCTCAGCAGCCTGAGCTGGGGTGCTGGGCTGAACCTGACTTCAGTGCAGGGCAGCCTCAAGGTTCACACAGGGCCCCCCAGCACAGGACAGGTGCCCAGACTGTTAGAGTCGGGAAGGGCCACCCGGATGGGCGGTCACAAGGGGTGGTGTCCATAGCAACCACAGCTTTGGGCCCTGGGGCTTCTCATGAGTCCAGGGATGGACCAAGGACCTGGGGCCGCTGCTGTCCCATGCACCAAGAGCTCAGAGTCAGTGTGTGTGTGTGTGTGTGTGTGTGTGTGCATCCAGACCCCCCAGATTTTGAGGAGGAGCTGGCGGACTGCACAGCAGAGCTTGGTGAGACAGTGAAGCTGGCCTGCCGTGTGACGGGCACCCCCAAGCCTATCGTCAGCTGGTACAAAGGTAGGACCCTGCAGCCTGAGGGATGTGGACGTTGCACCAGTAAAAGGTGGCCAGAGGGGTGGGCCTGGTCAGGGTTTGGGGGGCAGGTGTGAGGGACGGGTGTCCTGTTACAGGGGCTCACCGTGGGCTCAGCCAGCCTGGCTGGGAGCACAGGTACACGAGGTGGGACAGAGCAGAGGCTGTGCCCCCGTGATTCAGAAGTGGTGACCCTGCTCACCCCGGATCTCGCTCCTTAGCTGTCTCACTTGACAAGTTTGCACGGAGGGCTAGCACCCTGCTCCAGGTACCAGGGATGCAGAGGCAACTAGGCCTTGCCCACGGGTGCTGTCCACGTAGGGGGGAGACCGATGGTAAACTGGTGGACAGACGTGTGGCAGCAAGTGGGGAGGTGCTGTGGCCATCCGGAGAAATGAGGCAGATGCAAGGGCAGCTGCTCTCTGGCCAACACGCGAGAGCCCTAGGGGGGCAGGCAGGAGGCCAGGAGAGGGCAGGCCCTGGGGTGGGATATCAGGTGTGGCTCTGGGCATGACGGGAGCCACAATGTTTGGGGGTCCCAGTTCTGAAACCAGCCACCATCCGGGGTCCTCGGGACCACCCCCAGTTCTGACACCTGCTTTGGGGGTCCCATGACTGGCTTTGGGGTCCATGAATCACTGAAGGACTCACAGAACTCAGGAGAGTGTCTACTTAGGGTCTGGCTTATTGCAGGGGTGGGAAGAGGCTCCTGGAGAGGGGTCCAGTGGGGTGTCCAGCGGGGTTCCTGGGGCCTCCCACCTTCTGGTGGAGTCATGCAGACCACATCTCTCTCCCGCATGGATGCAGGCAGTGCAGTCTAGCCCCCCGGGGTACACGCGTCCGAGCCTTGTGTCCAGGGTGTCTGCTGGGGGGTCACTCACGCAGGCACAGCTGTCGACTCTCAGAGCTCCTGCAGTGGTCAGACTCCTGCCACGTGGTCCTAAGCCCCAGCCCTGCCTCACAGCTGATGAGGTCCAAGGCCCCAGGTAAACCAGGACACTCTTACTGGGAGTCACCTGGCCTGGGCTGGACTGACAGGTAGACCTCCTAGTGTCCACTGCAGCCCGAAAACCCAAATCAAGTCCTGGTCTTGAAGGAGCCATCCCAGGATGGTCAGGCCCTCTGGGCCTTTGTCTGTGTTTCCCGGTCAAGGGCGGGGCTGCTGAGGACACCTGGGGTGTGCTGGGCTTTCCCTGGGTCCCAGGGTCAGAGCCACAGGCCGGAGATCCCCCTTCTCTGCCCTGGGGTCGTCTTCTGGAGGGAGCCCCTGCTGCCCCCACATTCTGGGGTCTCCTCCCCCGCACAGAACCTGGGAGTGCAACTTCCCATCCTGTGATCCCCCCGTGGCCAGACCTGTGCCCGGGATGGCCAGTTCAGAGGGACAAGGTAGTTCAGGAAGTTTCCCGGAAGCAGAACGGGCCCCTGGGACTCCCTGCTTCTGACCAGGCTGCCCCCAGGAATGTGTGCTGGCCAGGCCACGTCTGTGTCCGAGGGGAAAGGAGGACACACCTTACCCTGAAGCGGTCAGCAGGGTGAGAGTTGGGTGGTTCTCTGCTCTTTTAATGCCGTGAACACCCTGGAGGGGAGGACTTGTTCTGGGGACAGCTGGTGTCTGGTGACCAAGCTGCTCTCCTGAGGGTTGGGCAGGCAGAGGCGAGGGTCAGCAGATGCTGACACATGCTGTCGTGAGGCAGCGGCTCCCACAGCCAGAGGCTGCTGTGACCTGAAGCAGCGTCATGGTGGGAGACCCCACAGGGAGCCCCCAGAGCCTCAGATCTGCCAGGATGAGGCCATGCTCCATGTTCTGGGGCTCCACCCTGGACTTTGGGTGTCCTTATGGTCTTGGGCGCCATGCCATGCAGGAGCCCTTCTGGCCCAGGAGGGAGCCAGCGGTGACCTCACTTTGCTACCGCGGACCTTCAGTCCACCTGTCCACAGTCTGTGGGACAGCAAACCGAGTGGCCAGCTGCAGCAGTCTGAGCGAGGCTAGTGGGCCCAGGGTGACCCTCGCCGGGAAGCACAGAGCCCACAGGGCCATGCTGGTGGCCCTGATCTGCCCAGCTCCCGTCTGTGTGTCCCAGATGCTGCTGTGGTCAGTGTGCACCCTGGGGCTCAGCAACGTAAAATGGCCCAGACTCAGAGGGGGCCTGTGTCCCAGTCCGTGAAGTCTGGAGGTGTGCTTGCACTTCGGGGGTCAGGCCCAAGAGGCAGAGGTTGGTTATTGTAGCTGAGGGACCCAGCATGGGGAATGGGCGTCTACTTGCCGGCCAGCAGACCGTCGTCACCTGGGTGGATGGTTTGCATGTTGGCAGCAGAGGATCACGTCCTGACCCTCCTGAGAGGACTGACTGCCTGGCATGGAGAGGATGCGGAGAGGTCATGGTGCCTGCACAACCGAGGGTTGAAAAAGCAGGCATCCCTGTGCCCCTGGTGGAGGCATGGCTCTGCTTAGTGGATCCCATGACAGCCAGCCTGTCGACACCGGTGGGAGCCACAGGGGCAGTGATGTTTATCACCTGCTCTCTCTGGTGGCCATGCCATCTCTGCATCTGGTGTGTCCCCACCTGGAATGTCCCCTCCCACGTTCCAGCCGCGGAACCCCAAACAGCAGACCTCAGACTGCAGAGGTGGAAGCCACAACCATGGTCCCCGGATGTGGCCCCAAGGTGACACACCCTTCTCTGCTCCCCGGGACCTTGCTTGCATCCCATGTGTGGATGCAGGTGTCGGCCTCCTGCAGAGCTGGGAAAATCTGAGCTCCCCTGCCTGAGGCCCACCTGTGGTCCTTCATCCTCTCGGTAGCAGAGGTCAGGGTGGTGGAGGAGTGGGAAGGGAAGAGGGAAGACACTTCTGCAGCTCAGTAATGGTCCGTGTTCAGGGCTCGAATAAGAGCCCCACTCCGGGCAGCAGGAACATCTCTGGGATATGATGTCCCCTTCAGGGATGTGGACTTGGCAGCAACATCACATCACTGTCCAAGGCTCTGTGCCCCTTGGTTGGCTGTGGATTCCCGTGCAAGGTGGTGACCTGTTGGATGGGGTGTCTCCTGGCCCAGACACTCTCCCTGGGGTTCCCGTGCAAGGTGGTTGGATGGATGTCTGCTGGCCCAGAGCCTCTCTCTGGGATTTCCAGTCATCCGAAGGAATCCTTCCCTTGCTTTTGGTGCCTGGCCTTTCACCCAGGTGCTGGCCATCCTGTCCACTGCCCAGCGGGGTTGGGGACAGCTCTCTGTTTTCACCGAGCATGGGCTCTGGATTTGTCAGGAAGCCAGCCAACCTTGGGTGTGTTCTGAGGAGAGAGCGTGTCCACCAGGGCACCGTCCACAAATCTGTCCTTGAGCCCACTTCTTGGTACCCAGACTGCAGCCACCTGCCACACTCCCTCCATCCACAGGCAGCAACGGGAAGTGGGGTTTACTGCCCAGCAGACCCCGCGGTGTGGCCAGCGAGTCTGCCACTGAGTCCCAGGGACCCGTGCATGTCCTGTTACCTGGCCCATGGGGCCTTCTGCTTATTTACCTCCTTTTTTTCCTGGAATACCATGTCCGTGATGGTGTCCCTTCCTCGTCGCTGAAGTGTTTACCTGCTTACAAACCCACGAGCCAGCCAGAGGCAGACAGAAAATGCAAGACCTTGGGGTTGCAGGGTTGGTCTCAGAGAAAGCAGAACGCCCCTGTCCACATGTTCGGGGTGAGGTGTCCCCTGCAGATGGTGGTTGCCCCACAGGAGAGGAACCACGAGCTTCAGGAGGTGCTGGGCTTCCATGAGGCTGCCAGCACGCCTGCTCACGCTCTCCTGAAACGGGGTCCCTTGAAAGAAAGTGCATGCCAAGGGTTCTGTGAGTCGGGACATGGCTTGGGGACCATTGTAATGGAGCAGCTGCATTTGACACAGACAGGGCTGTGGGAAGGTGTCCACCTGTAAAGTCTAGGTATCTGTGGAGGACAGGGTTCTTCCCAGGGAAGACACTCGCCTGCCTGCCCACCACCCAGGAAAGAACCATTATATGGCTGGAGATGTTTGGTGGTGAGGGACACGAGCAGTATCTGAGTGTGTCTGCAGTGGCCAGGTGACCACTGTGTGTCCTCTGTGGTGTCTGGTCCCTTTGCCTGGACCCCGCCTCCAGCTGTGAGCCTACTTTCTGCGGCCACATTGTGGGCAGAGGTCTGGGGAAGCAGTTGGGGCTCTGGGTCAGTGTGGCCAGCGGGGCTCCCCACCAGGGGTCTGAGGTCCAGGGGTGGCCCCCCAGCACTGCCCCACGACTGTGACCCCCAGGCAGGCCAGCCTCCTGTCCCCGGTAGGGTCTCTTCTGTGATGGCACTGCCTTCCTTTGCAGATGGGAAGCCAGTGGAGGTGGATCCACACCACATCCTCATCGAAGACCCTGACGGCTCCTGTGCCCTTATCCTGGACAACCTGACCGGCATGGATTCGGGCCAATACATGTGCTTTGCTGCCAGCGCTGCTGGCAATGCTAGCACACTGGGCAAAATCCTGGTGCAAGGTGAGCCCGCCCCAGGAGGGAGGCTGGAGAGGCAGCATCCGGACTCCACTGCACCTCGGTGGCCCATGGGGAGTGCAGGCCTGTGGGTGGGGGTAGGGTCCTGCTCTGTCATGGGGTCTCTCTGTATCTCTTTCCCTTGGCTTGCTCTGTGACACCACAGTACCCCCACGGTTCGTGAAGAAGGTCCAGGCCATTCCTTTTGTGGAGGGAGAGGATGTGCAGGTCACCTGCACTGTCGAAGGCGCCCCACACCCTCAGATCAGGTGGGCTGGGAGGCTTGCACCCGGGGTACAGGAGGGGAGGTAGGCAGCGTGGTCACTGTGTGGGCTTGGGCAGATTCTGAACATGGCTTCTGCCCCAGGAAGGGAGCCCCCTCTGAGGGTTGGGGGGTGGTGTCAGGAGCTTGTGGGCTCTGGATGAAAGCCTGGTCCTGCAGGGTGGGCGAGAGGAGGGTCTTGAGTGGGAGAAGGTGGGGAGGCTCTTCTCACTCCCTGGGGTTGGCTGCAGGTGGTACAAGGACGGGGCCCTGCTGACGCCCAGCAGCAAGTACCGAACCCTGAGTGAGCCCCGAAGTGGTCTGCTGGTGCTGGAGATCCTGGCGGCCAGCAAGGATGACCTGGGCCATTACGAGTGCGAGGTGAGGTGGGCAGACACAGGGGACCTACCTCAGGGCCCACCATCACCCAGGGTCCCTGCATCATAATGAGGGAGGGTACTCCTGGCCCACTGTCACCCAGTGTCCCTGATGAGGGAGGGACCCCAGACCTGTGATCACCCAGTGTCCCTAATGAAGGAGGGACCCCAGACCCACCATCACCCCATGTCCCCAATGGGGGGAACCCCAGGCCCACCATCAGTGTCCCCAGTGAGGGAGGGACCCAAGACCTACCATCATCTGGTATCCCTGATGAGGGAGGGACCCCAGACCCATCATCACCTGGTGTCCCCAATGAAGGATGGACCCCAGACCTACCATTACCCAGTATCCCTGATGAGGGAGGGGACCCCGGACCCACCATCACCTGGTGTACACGATGAGGAAGGGACTCCAGACCTACCATCACCCAGACTCCCTGATAAAGGAGGGACCCCAGACCTACCATCACCCAGTGTCCCTGATGAGTGAAGGGATCCCAGACCCATCATCACCCAGTGTCCCCAATGAAGGAGGCACCCCAGACCTACCATCACCCAGACTCCCTGATAAAGGAGGGACCCCAGACCTGTCATCACTCAGTCTTCCCAATGAGGGAGGGTCTTCAAACCTACATCACCCAGTGTCCCCGATGAGTGAGGGAACCCCAGACCCACCATCACCCGGTGTCCCCAATGAAGGAAGAGACCCCAGACCTACTATCACACAGTGTCCCCAATGAGGGAGAGGACTCCAGATCTGTGATCACTCAGTATCCCTGATGAGGGAGAGAATCGCAGACCCACCATCACCCAATATCCCCTAATGAGGTTGGGACCCCCAGCCCATCACCCAGTGTCCATGGCAAGCACAGGGACCTGGATGGGAGCTCTGAGTGACATCTTCTCTCCCCAAACCACCTGCTCACCTGCCAGGCCAGTGGTATTCTGTATAAGGTATGTGCAGGCTGTGGCTCTTGCTGGCTGTGAACCTCCTCTGTGTGGCTGCTGCTGGTAGCCTTGGTGGGACCAGGAGGGGGCTGTCCCCCACTGCAGCTCCTGGGGAGACACATAGACTGGAGTTAGCTCTGGATTCACATGGTTTAATTCAGTGACTGCTAGCCACACATGCAGTTTGAGCATGTTAGCTCTCGGTAAAGACTTGGTTCCGTTTCCAGTGCTCACGGCCCACATGGCCACCACACCGAGCTATACAGATAGTGTCCCCACCACCGAGGAAACCCCTGGGCAGTGCTAGGTCTGTGTGGGGTCCCTTTCTCTATGGCAGGCTCTGTGGCTCTGGGACACAGCGAGGGAGGGCCTCCCCTATGTTAGAGATGGCCCTGACGGTCCCAAGGGTGTCACTGGCTCTAAGCAGGCTCCTGCCATCCGTCCTGCAGTTGGTGAACCGGCTGGGCTCTGCAAGGGGCGGGGTAGAGCTGTGCATGCAGAGCCCTGCTGTGCAGGCCCGGGAGCAGCTTCGCAGGGAGCAGCTTGCTACTGTGGAAGGTAAGTGCTACTGTGGTGCCAGGTTGGTTGCCAGCCTTTCCAACCAGGGTGTGTTTCCTGGAGAAAGGGTGGTAAGGGCCGAGGAGGAGTCCGGGTGGGAGAGGTGGGGATGCAGAGACTCTGGGGCAAGGGCTGGTTTCCAGCCCTCTACTGGGACAGCATGAGGTGAGCCTTGAGGCCAGAGCTTCAGCAAGGCTGGAGGGCAGCCCTGGGGGTGGGGGAGGCCTGCGTCTGCCTTACCATTCCTGGGCTATAGTGAGTTTGTAGAAAGGCCAGGCCTTGCCCAGCAGGCTGTGGGGCAGTGGCCAGCCAGGCGTCGTAATAGGCAGCAGGAATGTTGAGGAGGATGGCTCTGTGGGAGGCGTGCTGAGGGCAGAGCACCAGCTGCTGGGTCCCAGTTTGGTTCCCAGGAGAGGGAGTGATGTCAGCGGCCTGGTGCCTCCACACTGGGTTGGGTTGTTCATGGAAAAAAGCAGAGTGCCATGGCTCTGCCTCCCTAGCCTGGCCTGGGGTGGTGTCTGGGGTCCCAGGATGGGTGTCACTGAGGGGAGATGTGTTCCTGGGTGAGGGGTGGAGAGCCAGCTGCTCAGGCCTCCACTCACACCTGAGTCCAGGGTTCTAGCTGTGGCCAGACTAACGATGGCCAGGATGGGAAGTGGGGCAGCTGGCATCTGCCCCAGGCTTGCTGAGTCAGAGAGCAGGCCTGTGGTGCTCACGGGGCAGGCTGCAGCCCAGGGACAGCTTCTCCCAGTCTGGGTTGCCCCACCTAGAAGGGGCTACCTTGTCAGTTGGTGAGCCTCCTGTCACCAGAGTTATGCCGACAGAGGCTGGACTGACACCTGGTGGAGCCATAGCTTTCACAGTAGGACAGGCTGGAATACATGTCCTTCCAAGTCCTGAGTGTTGGCTTCTGTGATGCCTGGGGGTAATGGATCTAGTCCATCCTGGGGCACAATGTCCAGGGGACCCTATGTGGACCCCCCTGGAGTCAGCCCACCTGGCATCTGGAGCTCGACGTCACAGCCATCACAGAGTGGGCAGGGGTCCAGTTCCTGCCTTGCAGAGGGCCCTGTGGTGTCTGCAGGCAGCTTCACTTCCTGCCATATGGTGTCTTATGTTGGGGAGGTGCTGAGCAAGGGTTGCAGCACTCCTCCTCTGGCTGGCACCCAGCGCGTCCTACAGAGACATTCACTTCGTTGTCACGATGGGTCCCTTTCTGTCAACGTCTCATGGCTGTGAAGTCTGGGAGAGGGGCAGCCCTCCAATACCAGAAACACGGTACCTCACATCCAAGGCGGCCAGTCCTCACAGACCCGGGAGCTGGAGCCCGCTACCTCCTGCTTCCTAACCCTATCCTGCCGCTTCATCTTTAACCTGGTGGCTCCATAGCCACAATAGCCCAGCTGGCCTTGTGGGGTGGGTGCTGCCGCCCGCTTTTGGAGCTGCACTGGGCCAGGAGCCCCGCTTCGCACAGCTGCACCCCCCTGATTGCTGCCAGTACCCACCAGGGCTTAGAGCCCATCAGGTGGCAGGTCAGATCAGGAACAAAGGCACCAGGAACGTAGCAGCCAAGACATTCCCCGACCACCACTCCCCAGAGCAGCAGGATGGGACTTCAGTCGAAGGAGGGTGAGGGAAGGAGTTCTGGGTTTTCCCACTGCTCTGCACACAGGGTCTGGCCTACAGGTGGCAAAGTGGATCTCTCTGGGTCCCACTTAATCTAGACACACAAAGCATTTTGTCTGGATCTCATTCTCTCCCCCAGGGGGCTTCCCTCTCCAGGAGGCAGCTGGCACAAACACACGTGCACATACATACACAAGCAAATGAGGCTTCCAAGGGCCTTACAGACAGAGCTGGTAGCTTCAATTCACATGAGCACAGCTGGAGACAAGTTTAAAATACTCTTGGTCACTTAAGGGAAACCCTTTCTCTATGAGACTTTAGCAAAGCCTAAAATCCCACCCACCAGAAGCCAGAGCACTGTGTGCTACAGGCCATGCCACTTGATTTTTCTGAGCGTGCCACTCGGCTTTGTCCCCAGCATGGTGAGAGGGACTGTTGAGATCTGAGGGTACTGGTATCTGCTGGATGCCTGCTGTCCGGCAGGGTGTGGCTGGGAGGGCTATCTCTCTGGCAGGCTGGACCCTGCCTAGAAGCTGCAGAGGAAGAGGCCTCAGAATGGGTGAGAATAGGTGCTGCCTGATCCCAGATGGGTCCTACCCTGTCTCTGGGACTTAGGCCCTCCATCCGCTGTTTCCAGGAAGATGGAAAGATAGGACAATCGAGGCAGTTAAGTTTATGGGAAGCTTTTATGGAGAGATCTAGGTTTCCCTGCTCACTCAGAGCTCAGGACTCTGTCCAGGTGTCTCTGGTTGCTCCTGATGGGATTTCCATGGCCTCATGGTACAGAGCTCAGATGTGCCATCTTTAGGACTCCAGTGTCCCTTTCCCCTGGAGAGATGCTTTTGGCCATTAGGATTTCTTATAAATTAGGCACCAGCCATCCCAGTCCTAGTTTGGCTCCCATGGGCCTTTCCTTCCCCTACCCCAGCCTTCAGTTTCTTTCTGAGAAGTGGAACCTCCAGTTTGACAAGTTCCCAGGGCTCCCTGGGCACATGGGCTGAAGAAGGAGCTGGGATTTCTGCCTGCGCAGCCCAGATGGGACCCCTGCTCTTTCTGCAGTCCCTGCAGGACCCTCATTTCCTCATGTGGAACGCTCTGAGGTCACACACACTCATCCCCCAGCCACTCAGAGCAGCCACTGTCATCTCCGTGTTAAAGAGGACAGAACTGAGGCTCCAACCTAACACAGGCAGATCAGGCAGGGCTTGGATACAGTGCCCTGAAGCCAAGAAGGCTACTACACTGCCATGCCCTCAAATGGTTCAGCATCCAAGCACTGGCTGATCTGTAACCCTCGCTATTCCGACTGTTTTCTTTGTAGTCACTGAGCAGGAGACTAAAGTCCCCAAGAAAACCGTCATCATGTAAGTGCAGGCGTGTTCCTAACCTTCCTTCTGACTGCAGTGCCCCTGCATGCCCACTAACCCACCTGTACCTTGTCCGTGTGGCCTGGCCACCTGCTTGTCTAACTGCCTGCCCACGTGGCCTTTGCTCACCATGCAGGCTGCCAGCAATTTGCAGATACCCCTGAGGGGACACACCTTCCCGTGGGGCCTTGGCTACCTTCACAGCTCACAGCTTTCTCTTCCAGGGCCTCTATGGTTCCAATGCTTCCACAGGGTAGACGTACTGTGTACTTCACACTGGCTCACCTAGGGCTTGGACCCAGAATCACATCAGTTAATTTGGAGCTGGGACCAAGAACTGCTTCCCGTGGTGGGTTAGAGGGAGGATTTTTATCCCTCAGACCCTAGGATCTAGGGCACTTTTGTCTAATAGAGCTTTCTGTCCTGTTGGAAATATTATATTTGTGATGCGCACCACAAGAACAGCCACCAGCCACATGTGGCTACTGAGTATTTAAAATGTGTCAAATGCAACTGAAGAATTGAATTCTAGGTTGCACTCTCATTAACTTGTATTTAATTAAAATAGCGTAATCCTGGTGGGCAGCACAGCTCTAGGTGCCGCAAAGATCTCCGAGCCCAACCCTAGCATTAGGGAGATGGGGAAATTCAGGTTCAGGGAAGAGGCTTGCTCAGGTTGGTTTATGACAGAAAACCAGGAGAGAAACCATTCCCCGGTGCCACGCCCACCACCCCGTCTATTTTGTTGGGTGCCCTCAAGTCTGGGGTTGCTGCTACTTAAATAAAAGAGGTCTGGAGCTGAACAAGCCCACAAAAGACAGAGTTGGTTTTGACCTGGATGTTCCAGTAGGAGGTGTGTGCAGGTAGAGATGGTGTAAAAGCTTGGAAAACCCAGGAGGCAAAAAGACTGGTCTAAGACCAGTTGACTGGGAAGCTCCAGTTGGTTCCTTGGGGCCTATGAACTCCTAAAGGGGCCTGCATTTAGCCAAGTTTTGGAGAATCCTATCACCAGACATTTGGTCGGATCCTGGCTTAACCCTTCCTCAACATCCTCCTTCCACCAAGGCACATTGCTGCCCACAATACATGTGGCAGTAGTAAGCATCCCTGGAGGTATGCGGTTGTGCCAGAGCTATACATAGACTAACGCCCCCTTTCACCCGTGAAGGGAGAATTTCTATTATTTACATCTTACAGATAACAAAATGGAGAAACAGAGACAGGGCCAGGCTGCCCCATCAGTAGGACTTCAGAGAGGACTAGAACCTGGGGCAGCTGGACTAGGTGACTCAAGAGGCATCCTGAAGCCTAGTCTATTCCAGGCTTAGGGAGGTAGCAACACACACCCGGTGTTGCTGGAGGAACTTAGCTGGAGGAATTGTGCCAGGCGTCTCCCCCAAGTCCACACCACAGAGCGGGGACTTGACACGGGGAGGAATCAGGGCTTGGAGAGAGACCCCTGTGACCTGGCAGTCCCACCTGCTGTCCTGGGAGCCTCAGTACAGGATGTCTGCATGCCTTCATGGATGCAGTAATGAGCCCAACACAGGAAGGCATTTAGGAGGCATGATACCACTACCCATGTGACTGACTGGCCTACCTTGGTGACCTGAAGAGCAATGAGGCCAACAGATGGGCCTGGCCCAGGTTCCCCTGATGTTTGGGCAAGCTCCGACCCAGGGACAAACCTAGTGCTCCCAAGCCTGGGCATGAGGCAGGAAGGTAGTCCTGTGACTTTGGAAGAGGCCACACCTCCAAGCCTCAGTTTCTCCATCAGTTAAGTGGGGGTGCAGCATTTCCTTCTTACCAGCTGAGGGCTGAGCGGGCAGGCCCTATGATTGCCGTGCACTTCAAGAGGTAGCATACATCTCCGGGCCGATCCCTGGGAGAATCTTCTCCTGGGTGGAGCCCTGAGTTGGACAAAAGCTGAAGGAGATGGAGAGAGAGCATGAGCTTGCCTTGGTCACAGCAGGCAGGTGGCAACAGCATTGAGCTGTCAGCACATGTGTGCCTGAGCCCAGGAGAAAATTCAGGTCCAAGGTCCCAGGAGAGTTGTGAATTCCCCAGGGTCGGTGTGTTCATCAGCACATCCCTGTTCCCTGATACTGCCTGATACTCATTTCACCCACAGCACCCAGCAAGGTCAGGGTACCTCTGACTGGTGGACTTCTGAATCTTGGCCCTGGGCAGGAGTCCAGCCTTCTCAGCCTTGTGGTCCACACTTGCAAAAGGAGGTCAAACCCATCCCCCAAGGCTGCTGCAAAGTCCCTGGCCAGTGCCTGATGTTCACCCACATGCAACTGGTCTTGCGTTCTGCCTCCTCTCCTACCTCCTGCCCATTCCCATGTAGGTGGGAGGGACCCAGCAAGAGGAAGTGCTTGTCTGACATCACACAGCCCGTGATGGCCAAGCCACGCCCAGAGCCAGGTCTTTTCTGGGCTTCACAACCCCGGACGAACAGATCAGGAGCACATGCAGTAGATCAGGGCTCTGACAACCCTCCTGGACCTAGAATCAGTTGCCAACCTATCTCCCGCTGAGGACCATTGAGGCTCCTGCTCCCCATCATACGAAGCACAGAGCACTCATGGGATAGACAAGGAAGGGCACACGGTTGTGTGCCCGCTTCCCTGTCCATCAGCTCTGCAAGGAGCACTGGCATCTCCAAGCAAAGATGGCCATAAACAGAGGGGACACACGTGGAAACACTGTGAACCAAACCTGGTGTGGGTTGGAGGTGCCCCGTGATGCGACATGGTCCTCCCCTGTAGCCTCAATTCTTGTTTTGAGATCTGCACACTAGAGCCTGAGGTTGGCCAGATGAGGCTTTGTGCTTTGTTTCGTAGCTTCTCTGGATAGGGCTCCCGAGGGTGGGCTCAGGTACACGTGGAGGAATGGGTTTGCGCAGTGTGACTGGCTCGCTACACTGATCTGGTCACTCACATGGCCCCTGCATGTGCTGATGGCGCGGGCGCCGGGCGAGGCTCTAGGTCTCTGTGCACATCTTCTCTTGGCCCTCTCCCTGCAGAGAGGAGACCATCACCACCGTGGTGAAGAGTCCCCGTGGCCGGCGCCGGTCCCCCAACAAGTCCCCCTCCCGCTCACCATCCCGCCGCACTGCCAGCCCGCCCAGGCCAGGCCCATTGGCCCCCGAGCTGCTGTACTCCCTGGGGGCCGGCCAGCCCCGCAGGCCTGAGGTGGATCCAGGCTGGAGGCCTACTGTGCCCACACTGTATGTGACGGAGCCTGAGTCCCACATGCCGGCCCTGCCCCAGGGCACGAGGCCGCAGCCCAAGTGGGTAGAGGTTGAGGAGACCATCGAAGTCAGGGTGAAGAAGACGGGTTCCAGGGGTGCATCCCCCGCCAGAGAGGCACCTGACAGCTCGGCAGGGCTTCTCTTCACGCTGCCTGGCAGGACCCCCATAGGAGACCCCAATGCAAACAACTCCAACAACAACCTACTGGCTCAGGAGCCCCAGGCCCAGGGCAGGGCCATGGTCAGCACTAGAGAGCCTCTCATCTTCTGCGTGGACACGGGGCCAGAGGAGGCCCCTGAGCCGTTCCTTCCCCAGGCGGCTGAAGAGGAAATCCCCATGGAGGAGGTGGAGGGTGGAGGTGGCATCCTGACGGAGGACAACCTGGGCGCCAGCGGCCTTTGGGACCGTGACCCCAAGGTCCTCATTCACGATGGCCGAGTGCTGACGCTGGCTGACCTGGAGGATTACGTGCCCCGGGAGGGGGAGACCTTCGGCTGCCATGGCCCTGTGCCCAGTCCTTCTGACGATCCGCCCTGTGAGGTCTCTGTGCTCCAGAGAGAGATCAGCGAGCCTACCGTGGGGCAACCCGTCGTGCTCAACGTGGGGCGTCCCCTGGGTCCTCAAAGCCCGCCCAGCTTTTTCAGTCACTGGGAGGTGTCTCCCTTGGGGCCTCGGGTCCTGGGCCCCGCAGGTGTCTCCTTCTGTATGCAGGAGGCCCAGGCTGGGAGCACTGCATCCTGGAAGCCGTCCTTCTGCATCCAGGTCCAGAGGTCTGCAGACAACGGCCAGAGCAGCTTCAAAACAGAGGTTAGCACCCAGACGGTCAGCTTCGGGACGGTGGGCGAGACCGTCACCCTGCACATCCGCCCGGATGGGGACAAGACCCCCGGCCCCTCCCAGGGCTGAGGCCGTGACCAGCAGGTGCCTGGCCGCTGGGCCCTGGGGGTGCATGGCGGAAACCAGCACTCCATGGACACATGTGCTCTGGGCCTCTCCCTAAGTCTCCAAGAACTCAGGGCTGGAGCCTGCCCACCCCTCTCACTCCAGGACTGGCTACCTCAGGGGGCCTGGTCCAGCGAAGACACCGTGCACAGTCCTGGCATCTCAGAAAGTCCAGAAGGCTGGAGGGACTCACAGACTGCAGCTCTGGGTCAGGGACTCTGCATCTGTCCTGCCCTGTTCACGAGGCCAGGCTGCCAGGTGCTCTAGGCTGCTGCGTCTGCTCCAGGCCGGGGTCCCAGTCTTCCACTCACCGGGGGGCTCCCCAGCTACATCTTCACTATGAACATTTCTCTCTGGCTCTGGGAGGCCTGCGTAGGGCTCAGCCCTGCAGGAACTCCTGGGCCTCTCTGCAGGGTGGACCAGGGTCTGTGTGTGACCCCCAGTGATAATAAACGGGGTCCCTGCAGTTCCCCTGCTCTGCTGTCTTGCTTCTCTGTCTGGTGGCTCCGGCGTCTTGTTGGGGAGGGCCCTGGGTCGGCACCCAGCATCTGCCTCTGGGTTCTGGCCCATTCTTGGGGTCCCTGGGTGGAGGCATGATGGTTCCCTGACCTGGCTTGTTCACGTGGGCTGTGTGGCCGGTCACAGGTGCATATACTGGGATCAGGACGGCCCATAGTGGTCTTTCCCAGCCTGCTGGGGGCTGAGCAGGACTTCCTGCCCCCTGCCCAATGGGGGCCGTTGGTGAGATTGACAGGGAGGGTGTGCTGTGTCAGGGGTATGTTCATGTTCTTGGATGGGGTAAGGGCAGGATGGGTGCCCCAGTGCCATGGAGGGCAGACAGACAGCAGCCTGCCCAGGTATCTCTCTGTCCTAGAGGGTCTGAGGGTACAGAAGACCAGCAAAAGAGGAGGTCTGGGGCAGGGGAGAGCTCCAGGCAGGGGACCTGCTGGGAATGGAGTGGTGGGCATCCCAGGCATGTGTGAGGCTGTGGTGTGGCTCTGCGAACTGGCCTCCGGGTAGAAGAGGAAAACGTTCCAGGATCTGGGGGCAGGGAGCCCACACGTGCGACAGTCTGAGCATTCCTTCGGGGGCTGTATGAGGACCTGGGGTAGGAGCCCTTGGGGTGCGGTGGCCTGAGTGGGGCCATGCTGCAAGTGCAAGGCAGGGAGCGGGGCCTGGCCTGGGAGGGCAGAAAGGAGTCCCTGGTCCCTGGCAGCATCAGGCTGTCCCCCGGCTACCCTAGAGCATGGGGCTGGGTCCTCCCCAGCTTGGGTGGCCCAATACTCTGGGATCTGGAGTGGGCCATGCGGTAGGGGCAGCCCATCCCAGAGGGAAGGGAAGGGGAGAACTGAGACTGAGGGCAAGCCAGGACAGAGGGTAGGTGTCCAGGCCCACCTGTCCCCAGAGGAGCCTGTATGCTCCTGCCGGTCCCGAGTCCACTGCCTGCAGTGGGTGGGTGGTGCAGGCGGGTGGGAAGGAGAGTCTCTGAGGACTGCGACAAGGCTTCCGGAGCCTTTTCCGGGTTCCAGGCCACCTCTCACCCCGACACGCTGACCTGCCTCTGCCACAGATGCTGCAGTCCCTCCCCCAGTTGCCCTGGAACCAGCAGACCAGGAAGTCACAGTGTGCCCTGAGTCTCCAGGATCCTCCACAGGGGACCTTGCTGGCCCCGGCCCTGGCCGTGGGGGGCCACCCAAGTTCCAGGAGGCTGGCCCCCAACCCCCAGGCACAGAGGCTGCAGCTGCATCTGACGAGGCCCAGTGGCCTCAGGCTGATCGGCAAGCGCCACCTGCTCTCAGAGTCCTGCCTGTGCCGGCCCCAGCCGCAGCCACCCCAGGTACCATCCTGTGTGGGCAAGTGGGCAGAGCCCTGCGGACGCTGACATCCCAATGGCTCCATGCGCCGAGCCTCAGTCTCCCCGTTGGTGAGACTAGGCAGGGAAGTGGGTGCTGGGGGCTTCTTCCTGACCGTATTTGTCCTGCTCAGCCCTGGGCAGACCGCTGGGTCCCCTGTGCTTCTGGGCAGGTCAGGAAGAGGAGGCAGGAGGAGGGGAGAAGGGAGAGAGGAGGAGGGGGGAGGAGGCAGGAG